CTTTCGGTAAAGTCACCACCACGTAGAATGAGAGTAAAATAATACGTTGATAAAATAATATAACACAATCATATTCTCACGACGTTTCGGCCACAACACAAGCGGCCTTCATCAGGTGAAGGGACAGTCTCTCTCGTCCCTTCACCTGATGAAGGCCGCTTGTGTTGTGGCCGAAACGTCGTGAGAATATTATTGTGTTATTTTGCCAATTTATTATTTTATTCTCATTCTACGTGGTGACTTCACCGAAAGAACCAAAGAAGATGAATCCTTGCAGTCACGAAAGCTTTAAATCGAAAGATGCCATCATTGTCAGCATCTTCGAGAACGGGTGACAAGTCAGACTGTGGCAACCACAGAGGAATCTCTCTTCTTGTCACCGTTGGCGAAATACTTTCAAGAATCCTACTAAGCAGACTTCCACCCCTTGCTGAAAAACTCCCTCCTGAACCCCAGAATGGCTTCCGATCGGGCAGGAAACTTCTGGGAGAATCTTCTCAGGCCGTCAAACCCAAGGGTAGTGCCAGGAGCAGAGACTACCATTGGACGTGGCACTCTTCCATCTGACTAAAGCTGTCGACTCTGTTAATCGTGAATCACGATAGAGAATCCTTCTAAGATAAGGCTGCCCCCCGTCTTCTGCATGACGGGATGAAGGCTGTCATCCTCTCGAGTGGTGAAACCTCAGAGCCAAGCGAAGTAAGGGCCGGTGTGAAGCAAAGGGCTGCCCTATTGCGCCAACTCTTTCCTCCATCTTCCTGGCGGGGAATTCTTCACCTGACAGAGAGCAGACTCCATAGAGGCACACAAATCACATATAGGACAGAGGGGATCATATTCAACATCAGCCACTTCAGAGCCAAGTCGAAAACCTCAATCGCATCGGCTGTTGAATTCCAATATGCTAATGATGCCCAAGTCAGTGCCTGCTCAGAAGCTACCCTCATGCCACCTTCAACATCTTTACAGAAGCTTACAGCAGGATGGGTCAACATTCAACACCAGCAAAACAAAGAGCATCTTCCACCAAGCTCCAGAAGCACACCTACCACCGCCTAAGACGCGCTACCAACAACGCAAGACCGGAACACCTTCCCAGTTTCCCATACCTGGGCAGCCATCTCTCCAGCAATGTCTTAGCTGATGATGTAGACCACCGAGACCAAAGTGGTTGTTTATAATGCTGCGATCATTCCTATCCTGATGACGGAAGGTTGTCGTGTTTCGCCCGAAACGTCGTGATTTATTTTATTTTCTACCTACGTGCCGACTTTACCGAAAGAGCCAAAGAGCGTGGATTCCTGCAGTCACGAAAGCTTCAGATCAAGAGAATTCCTATCCTGTTAGACGGTGCAGAAAGCTGAAACGCTTATCGCAAACACATACATGTCAATCTTGATTTGAAGCTCTCGTCACTGCAGGAATCCACGCTATTTTTTTCGCCCGAGGACGACCGCATGCGTTGCGTTCGAAACGTCGTGATAAATTATTTATTTTTCGATTTAAAGCTTTCGTGACTGCAAGGATTCATCTTCTTTGGTTTTTTCGGTAAAGTTACGTAGAATGAGAATAAAATAATAAATTGATAAAATAAAATAACACAATAATATTCTCACGACGTTTCGGCCACAACACAAGCGGCCTTCATCAGGTGAAGGGACGAGACTGTCTGGTAGGATAGCGCTGGAGTGAAAAAAGCCACGTTCAGATCACGACCTTTAAGCTGTGTCAGAAGAAACAAAGCGCCTTGACAAAGGAATTAGCATATCATTTAGCATTGAAATGGCCGAGTGATTAGCTTGTGACTGGTCACAGAAATGGCTATGTTAAAGTTAAAGCATACACATCCGCAGAGGCACCCCTTGACAAAGGAATTAGCATCGAATTTAGCATTGAAATAGCTAAGTTAAAGCATACACATCCGCAGAGGCACCCCTTGACAAAGGAATTAGCATAGAATTTAGCATTGAAATAGCTGAGTGATTAGCTTGTAACTGGTCACAGAAATAGCTATGTTTAAAGTCAGAGCGTATACATTCACCGAGGCACCTAGTACAAATCAAACAGGAGAATTTAGCATTGAAATAACTAGGCGAATTTAGCATTTAAATAACTGAGTGATTAGCTAGTGACTGGTCACAGAAATGGCTATGTTGAAGTCAAGGTCTACACATCTGAGCTATTCACAGTAACTGGGTATACAATACAATGTATAATGAATACTATATAGTGAACCAATAAAAAACTAAAATATAAATTACCTTCATGTTATCAATAAACTCTATATTCTCCAATCAGCTAAGCTACCAACAATAAGTCGTTATATATCACAATGCTATATGGCGAAAAAATGGGTGGATTCTTACCCTCAACTTTAGCAACACAGATAGCTACGGGCCCCGTTCAGACGGACGAGTTCATCCAAGGTCGGAACAGAGGAGGGGGAGAGAGACAGCTGCGAGGCGCTATTATACTTCATGTTGTAAACCATACCATTAACCGTGGTCTGAGAGGTATTAAGAGTCAATGCTGGTGAAAGAGCTGCGGTCTGAAGGTCATCGTAAAATACAATTAATTAAGAACGCAAATGGTTTAAAACATCTTTCCAATGGTTACTAAGCCAGAATCCATCTTCTCGGTTGAAATTGTCTCTGTGCTTGTATATGTGAATGGCCTCATGAACGAATCTCTCATGGTAGCCGGTTGGTTTGCAAAGAACCTCCGTCTTGGAGAAGTCAATGTCATGTGAGCCCACTGAATTATAACAGTGATCTGCCACGGCAGAGGAGTTCGTCCTACCGTGTTTCAAGTCTGCTTTATGTTCACGGATGCAGTCCGAGATATGTCGTTTGGTTTCTCCAATGTAGCTACTACCACAGAGGCACTTTAGTTTGTAAACGCCCGAGTACTGTATGTCTGGAACAGCATCTTTTACAGATGGAACTAGATCACGGATTTTATGTATTGTGTTGAATCGGACCTGGATCTTGTGTTTATTCGGGATTTTGGAGATCTTTTTAGTGACCCCTGCAATGTAGGGTAAGGTGATGGTTTTGAGTGGCTCCACAAGAGAATCCTTCTTCATGACTGGAGTGATGGCTTTGCGGATTGTGTAGTCGGAGTAACCATTAGCCCTGAGAGCCTGGTGTACGTGCTTGAGTTCACTGGTAATGTGTTCCTGGTCGGAAATGCATTGGGCTCTATGGTATAGAGTCTTGATGAGGGAGTTCTTCTGGGATGGATGGTGGTGGAAATCCGGTTTCAAGTAAGCATCTGTATGGGTGGCTTTCCTGTAGACAGAGTGGCTCATTGAACCATCATGTCTCCTTTTAATTAAGACATCCAAAAAGGGTAGTTTACGTGACTTTACCGAAAGAACCAAAGAAAATGATTTATTGTCTTATGATTTTCCTACCTACGTGACGACTTCACCGAAAGAACCGAACAGTACAGAAGTGTCATCAACGCTGCCTCGGGAAAATGCTAAACATCAGCTGGGAAGGAAAACAAACTAACATCAGTGTCCCGGAGTGATCCAACTCATCCACTACAGAAGCCACCCTCACGAAGGACCATCTCAGATGGGCAGGTCACCTCGTGAGGATTAATGACTCGAGGCTTCCGAAAGCAAATCTTTTACTCCCAGCTCAGGGATGGATGCCAAACTCCTGAGGGTCAAAATAAGCATCTCCGTGACAACCTCAAAACGCCCCTCAAGCGAAGCCACGTGTAGACCTCAAACAAACTGGGAAATCGATGCCCTTGGTAGACCATCATGGAGGGCCAAGATCAACAAGGAAACTCAATATTTTGAGGCCGAATCGAGAGAGCTGACAGCCGGGAAAAGAGCACGCCGAAAAGTACCCACGCCAGAGGCAGAGACAAGGACGAGTGGGAGCTCCAGGACGAACCATCCCTGCCCCCACACGGCGTCAAGGTCTGTAAGTCACGGATCGGCCTGCTCAGCCACCTCTGGCACACCTCACAACTCGGACAAGTGACATCTGTAGGGGAATCAATCGACTACGAGGGACCCCAGAAAGAAGAATAAGTGTGGGTGGGTGGGTGGGTGAGTGAGTGAGTGGGTGGGTGGGTGGGTGAGTGAGTGAGTGAGTGGATGTGGGGAGCGATAGTGTAGCGGTTAGCGCGCTGCGCTATGAACCTGGCGACCCGGGTTCGATTCCCGCTCATGGCCAACACCAGTGACGATTATCTGAACCGGTCCCGGGCCTCCCCTAGGTCGACTCAGCCTCAAATGAGTACCTGGTGTGGTGTGTAAACATCGCCACTAGGGAGACAAAGGCGGTCGGGCGTGGTGCTGGCCACCCACCCCCTCGTGTACCGTTCCGGCCTTCATAGGTGCTCGCTAACAGCACTTGCCCCTACAGTCTGTTAAGGCTATATGGGGGATCTTTGTCTTTGTTGAGTGAGTGGATGGGTGAGTGAGTGAGTGAGTGGGTGGATGTGTGGGTGTGTGAGTAGGTGTGTGAGTAGGTGGGTGAGTGGGTGAGTGAGTAGGTATGTGAGTGGATGTGTGGGTGAGTGAGTGGGTGAGTGAGTACGTGGGTGAGTAGGTGGGTGAGTGGGTGAGTGAGTAGGTGAATGAGTGAGTGAATGAGTGGGTGGGTGGGTGAGTGGGTGAGTGAGTAAGTGGGTGAGTGAGTGAGTGAGTGGGTGAGTGAATGAGTGAGTGGGTGAGTGAATGAGTGGGTGAGTGAGTGGAGTGAATGAGTGGGTGGGTGGGTGAGTGGGTGAGTGAGTAGGTGGGTGAGTGAGTGAGTGAGTGGGTGAGTGAGTGGGTGAGTGAGTGGGTGAGTGAATGAGTGTGTGGGTGAGTGAATGAGTGTGTTGGTGAGTGAATGAGTGTGTGGGTGAGTGAATGAGTGTGTGGGTGAGTGAATGAGTGTGTTGGTGAGTGAATGAGTGAGTGGGTTGGTGAGTGAGTGGGTTGGTGAGTGAATGAGTGTGTGGGTGAGTGAGTGAGTGAGTGAGCGACTCACCCGCTATGTAGTACGCTATCGATCCCACGTACACCCCCTGCATCTCCCCCTCGCTCCCTTTCCTGGAGGTGTCACACTGAAGTACGACTCCCATCCCAGCCTCCTCTGTGGGCATGGCGCCTCCCGAGTGAGCCAGGGTCTCGGGGTACTCCTGAGGGGTGGGAGGCTCTGCGGGACGCCACTGACGAGGGTCGGGAGAGACAGGCGAGGGAGAGTTTACACTCACCACCGACTCACCACTCACTCACTCACTCACCCACTCACTCACCACTCACTCACCACTCACTCACCACCCACTCACCACCCACTCACCACCCACTCACCACCCACTCACTCACTCACCACCCACTCACTCACTCACTCACCACTCACTCACTCACTCACCCACTCACCACCAACTCACTCACCACCCACCCACTCACCACCCACTCACTCACCACCCACCCACTCACCACCCACTCACTCATTCACTCACCCATCCACTCACTCACTCACTCACCACCCACTCACCACTCACTCACTCACTCACCCACTCACCACCAACTCACTCACCACCCACCCACTCACCACCCACTCACTCATTCACTCACCCATCCACTCACTCACTCACTCACCACCCACTCACCACTCACTCACTCACTCACCCACTCACCACCAACTCACTCACCACCCACCCACTCACCACCCACTCACTCATTCACTCACCCATCCACTCACTCACTCACTCACCACCCACTCACCACTCACTCACCACTCACTCACCACTCACTCACTCACTCACACACCCACTCACCCACTCACTCACCCACTCACTCACTCACCACCCACTCACTCACTCACCCACTCACTCACTCACTCACCACCCACTCACTCACTCACCCACTCACTCACTCACTCACCACCCACTCACTCACCACTCACTCACTCACTCACCCACTCACCACCCACTCACTCACTCACCACCCACTCACTCACTCACCCACTCACTCACTCACTCACCACCCACTCACTCACTCACCCACTCACTCACTCACCACCCACTCACTCACTCACTCACCCACTCACCACCCACTCACTCACTCACCCACTCACTCACTCACTCACCACCCACTCACTCACTCACCCACCCACTCACCCACCTACTCACTCACCCACTCACTCACCCACCCACTCACCCACTCACTCACTCACCCACCCACTCACTCACCCACTCACTCACCCACCCACTCACCCACCTACTCACTCACCCACTCACTCACCCACCCACTCACCCACTCACTCACTCACCCACTCACTCACCCACTCACTCACCCACCCACTCACCCACCCACTCACTCACCCACCCACTCACCCACCCACTCACCCACCCACTCACTCACCCACCCACTCACCCACCCACTCACCCACCCACTCACCCGCTCACCTCAGCCCTCATCCTCCTCCAGGTGAAGGTGAAACTGCTCACTGGTTGAGCTGAGAGGCAGCGAAGCTCCCCACCTCCCCTCACCCTCTTTGTCTCTCCCCCTGAGAGACAGAGACACGAACTCACTCCCTCACTCACCCACCCACTCACTCATCCACTCACTCACTAACTCACCCACCCACTAATTCACTCACTCCCTCACTCACCCACCCACCCACTCATCCACTCACTCACTAACTCACCCACCCACTAATTCACTCACTCCCTCACTCACCCACCCACTCACTCATCCACTCACTCACTAACTCACCCACCCACTAATTAACCCACTCACTCACTAACTCGCCCACCCACCCACTAATTCACTCACTCACTCACTAACTCGCCCACCCACTAATTAAAACACTCACTCACTAACTCACCTACCCACTAATTCACTCACTCACTCACTAACTCGCCCACCCACCCACTAATTCACTCACTCACTAACTCGCCCACCCACCCACTAATTAAAACACTCACTCACTAACTCACCCACCCACTAATTCACCCACTCACTCACTAACTCACCCACCCACCCACTAATTCACCCACTCACTCACTAACTCACCCACCCACCCACTAATTCACCCACTCACTCACTAACTCACCCACCCACTAATTCACCCACTCACTCACTAACTCACCCACCCACCCACTAACTCACCCACTCACCCACTAACTCACCCACCCACCCACTAACTCACCCACCCACCCACTAACTCACCCACTAACTCACCCACCCACTAACTCACCCACCCACCCACCCACTAACTCACCCACCCACCCACACACTGTGGGGGGTGAGAAGTACTCACAGCCGCAGTGTCGCTGTGGTGCAGTGCACGGCTGGATGGAGGCCAAACAACGCCGCTTGTAGGCCGGGCAGCCTTGGGAAAAATATCGTACAGCCAGGCCCGGCCCTACAGGGGGAGACAATAACTCACTCACTGAATCATCAACTCACACAGCCACCCACTCAGCCACTCACTTAAACAACCACTCACTTAAACAGCCACTTACTCACTCATCAACTCACTCACTCATCAACACACTCACACAGACACTCACTCAGCCACTCACTTAAACAGCCACTCACTCACTAATCAACTCACTCACTCATCAACTCACTCACTCATCAACTCACTCACTGAATCATCAACTCACACAGCCACCCACTCAGCCACTCACTTAAACAGCCACTCACCTAAACAGCCACTCACTCACTCATCAACTCACTCATCAACTCACTCACTCATCAACACACTCATTCAGCCACTCACCCACTGAATCATCAACTCACACAGCCACCCACTCAGCCACTCACTTAAACAGCCACTCACTCACCCACTCACTCATCAACACACTCACACAGCCACTCATTCAGCCACTCACTCACTCATCAACCCACTCACTCAACAACTCACTCACACAAACAATCACCCACTCACACAGACACTCATTTAGCCACTCACTCACCCACTCACTCATCAACTCACTCACTCATCAACACACTCACACAGACACTCACTCACACAGCCACTCATTCATCAACTCACTCACTCATCAACTCACTCACTCATCAACACACTCACTCACTCATCAACACACTCACACAGACACTCACTCATCAACTCACTCACTCATCAACTCACTCACACAGCCACTCATTCATCAACTCACTCACTCATCAACTCACTCACTCAACAACACACTCACACAGCCACTCACCCACTCACTCATCAACACACTCACTCATCAATACACTCACACAGACACTCACCCACTCACACAGCCACTCATTCAGCCACTCACTCACTCATCAACTCACTGACTCATCAACACACTCACACAGACACTCATTCAGCCACTCACTCACTCATCAACTCACTCACTCATCAACACACTCACACAGACACTCACCCACTCACACATCCACTCATTCAGCCACTCACTCACCCACTTAACCATCCACACACTAATCCCCTCACCCCCCCCCACTCACCACAGGTAACAGAACACCTTGAAGCTTGTGTGGGTCTCTCTGTGAGCAAGGGAGAGAGACAGAGAGGTTCATCATGGCCCAGGGACCCCAATGGACCCTCCTATCGCGTGGTTCATCACAAAATATAGGGTAGGCGACGGTTCGGGCAATTAACCTTTTTCACGGGACACTCGCACTCAGCTACCCACTTACCTATTAATTCACTCATTAACCTACCCACTCACTAACCCCCATACCCATTCACTCACCCACCCACTCACTCACCACCCACCCACATACTCACCCACTCACTCACTCACCGCCCACCCACATACTCACCCACTCACTCACCACCCACCCACTCACTCACCCACTCACTCACTCACCACCCACTCACTCACCACTCACCCACCCACTCACTCACCACCCACCCACTCACTCACCACCCACTCACTCACCACCCACCCACATACTCACCCATTCACTCACTCACCACCCACCCACATACTCACCCACTCACTCACTCACCACCCACCCACCCACTCACCACTCACTCACCCACCCACTCACCACCCACCCACGCACTCACCACTCACCACCCACCCACTCACCCACCCACTCGCTCACCACTCACCACCCACTCACCACCCACCCACTCACTCACCACTCACCACCCACTCAATACCACCCACCCACTCACTCACCCACCCACTCACTCACCACGCACTCACTCACCACCCACCCACTCACTCACCAATCACCACCCACCCACTCACCCACCCACTCACTCACCACTCACCACCCACTCAATTACCACCCACCCACTCACCACTCACCACGCACTCACTCACCACCCACCCACTAACCTATCCACTCATCCACTTACGGAGTCAGTGGGGGGGGGTGACTACAGGGGGTGACTACAGGGGGTGACTACAGGGGGTGACTACAGAGGGTGACTACTTGTTACAGTCTCAGCAGGCACTCACAGGGGGTGACTACAGGGGGTGACTACTTGTTACAGTCTCAGCAGACACTCACAGGGGGTGACTACAGGGGGTGACTACTTGTTACAGTCTCAGCAGACACTCACAGGGGGTGACTACAGGGGGTGACTACTTGTTACAGTCTCAGCAGACACTCACAGGGGGTGACTACAGGGGGTGACTACTTGTTACAGTCTCAGCAGGCACTCACAGGGGGTGACTACAGAGGGTGACTACTTGTTACAGTCTCAGCCGACACTCACAGGGGGTGACTACAGGGGGTGACTACTTGTTACAGTCTCAGCAGACACTCACAGGGGGTGACTACAGGGGTGACTACTTGTTACAGTCTCAGCAGGCACTCACAGGGGGTGACTACAGGGGGTGACTACTTGTTACAGTCTCAGCAAGTACTCACAAGGGGTGACTACAGGGGGTGACTACTTGTTACAGTCTCAGCAGACACTCACAGGGGGTGACTACAGGGGGTGACTACTTGTTACAGTCTCAGCAGACACTCACAGGGGGTGACTACAGAGGGTGACTACTTGTTACAGTCTCAGCAGACACTCACAGGGGGTGACTACAGAGGGTGACTACTTGTTACAGTCTCAACAGACACTCACAGGGGGTGACTACAGAGGGTGACTACTTGTTACAGTCTCAGCAGACACTCACAGGGGGTGACTACAGGGGGTGACTACTTGTTACAGTCACAGCAGACACTCACAGGGGGTGACTACAGAGGGTGACTACTTGTTACAGTCTCAGCAGACACTCACAGGGGGTGACTACAGGGGTGACTACTTGTTACAGTCTCAGCAGACACTCACAGGGGGTGACTACAGGGGGTGACTACAGAGGGTGACTACTTGTTACGGTCTCAGCAGACACTCACAGGGGGTGACTACAGAGGGTGACTACTTGTTACAGTCTCAGCAGACACTCACAGGGGGTGACTACAGAGGGTGACTACTTGTTACGGTCTCAGCAGACACTCACAGGGGGTGACTACAGAGGGTGACTACTTGTTACAGTCTCAGCAGGGACTCACAGGGGGTGACTACAGAGGGTGACTACTTGTTACGGTCTCAGCAGACACTCACAGGGGGTGACTACAGGGGGTGACTACTTGTTACAGTCTCAGCAGACACTCACAGGGGGTGACTACAGGGGGTGACTACTTGTTACAGTCTCAGCAGACACTCACAGGGGGTGACTACAGAGGGTGACTACTTGTTACAGTCTCAGCAGACACTCACAGGGGGTGACTACAGGGGGTGACTACAGGGGGTGACTACAGGGGGTGACTACTTGTTACAGTCTCAGCAGCCACTCACAGGGGGTGACTACAGAGGGTGACTACTTGTTACAGTCTTAGCAGACACTCACAGGGGGTGACTACAGGGGGTGACTACTTGTTACAGTCTCAGCAGACACTCACAGGGGGTGACTACTTTTTACAGTCTCAGCAGACACTCACAGGGGGTGACTACAGGGGGTGACTACTTGGTACAGTCTCAGCAGACACTCACAGGGGGTGACTACAGGGGGTGACTACATGGGGTGACTACAGGGGGTGACTACTTGTTACAGTCTCAGCAGACACTCACAGGGGGTGACTACAGGGGGTGACTACTTGTTACAGTCTCAGCAGACACTCACAGGGGGTGACTACAGGGGGTGACTACTTGTTACAGTCTCAGCAGACACTCACAGGGGGTGACTACAGAGGGTGACTACTTGTTACAGTCTCAGCAGACACTCACAGGGGGTGACTACAGGGGGTGACTACTTGTTACAGTCTCAGCAGACACTCACAGGGGGTGACTACAGAGGGTGACTACTTGTTACAGTCTCAGCAGACACTCACAGGGGGTGACTACAGGGGGTGACAACTTGTTACAGTCTCAGCAGACACTCACAAAGGGTGACTACAGGGGGTGACTACTTGTTACAGTCTCAACAGACACTCACAGGGGGTGACTACAGAGGGTGACTACTTGTTACAGTCTCAGCAGACACTCACAGGGGGTGACTACAGGGGGTGACCACTTGTTACAGTCTCAGCAGACACTCACAGGGGGTGACTACAGGGGGTGACTACTTGTTACAGTCTCAGCAGACACTCACAGGGGGTGACTACAGAGGGTGACTACTTGTTACAGTCTCAGCAGACACTCACAGGGGGTGACTACAGGGGGTGACTACAGGGGGTGACTACAGGGGGTGACTACTTGTTACAGTCTCAGCAGCCACTCACAGGGGGTGACTACAGAGGGTGACTACTTGTTACAGTCTTAGCAGACACTCACAGGGGGTGACTACAGGGGGTGACTACTTGTTACAGTCTCAGCACTCACAGGGGGTGACTACTTGTTACAGTCTCAGCAGACACTCACAGGGGGTGACTACAAAGGGTGACTACTTGTTACAGTCTCAGCAGACACTCACAGGGGGTGACTACAGGGGGTGACTACTTGGTACAGTCTCAGCAGACACTCACAGGGGGTGACTACAGGGGGTGACTACATGGGGTGACTACAGGGGGTGACTACTTGTTACAGTCTCAGCAGACACTCACAGGGGGTGACTACAGGGGGTGACTACTTGTTACAGTCTCAGCAGACACTCACAGGGGGTGACTACAGGGGGTGACTACTTGTTACAGTCTCAGCAGACACTCACAGGGGGGTGACTACAGAGGGTGACTACTTGTTACAGTCTCAGCAGACACTCACAGGGGGTGACTACAGGGGGTGACAACTTGTTACAGTCTCAGCAGACACTCACAGAGGGTGACTACAGGGGGTGACTACTTGTTACAGTCTCAACAGACACTCACAGGGGGTGACTACAGAGGGTGACTACTTGTTACAGTCTCAGCAGACACTCACAGGGGGTGACTACAGGGGGTGACCACTTGTTACAGTCTCAGCAGACACTCACAGGGGTGACTACAGGGGGTGACTACTTGTTACAGTCTCAGCAGACACTCACAGGGGGTGACTACAGGGGGTGACTACAGAGGGTGACTACAAGGGGTGACTACAGGGGGTGACTACAGGGGGTGACTACAGAGGGTGACTACTTGCTGGAGGGGTTGCCGCCCCTACCTGAAAATCCTTGCTCCGCCATTGCACTCACCCACTCACTCATTCACTCATTCATTCACTTACTCATTCACTCACTCATTCATTCGCTCATTCATTCACTCATTCATTCACTCATTCACTCTCATTCATTCACCCACTCACTCATTCACTCACTCATTTATTCACTCGTTCATTCACTCACTCATTCACTCAATCACTCATTCAGTCATTCACTCACTCATTCACTCGCTCATTCACTCACCCACTCACTCATTCACTCACTCATTCACTCATTCACTCACTCACCCACTCACTCATTTACTCACTCATTCACTCACTCACTCAGCCACTCATTTACTCACTCATTCACTCATTCATTCACTCACTCATTTACTCACTCATTCACTCACTCATTTACTCACTCATTCACTCACCCATTCATTCACTCATTCACACACTCACCACTCATTCACTCACTCACCCACTCATTCATTCACTCACTCATTCATTCACCCACCCATTCACTCACCCACCACTAATTCATTCATTCACTCATTCACTCACTCATTCATTCACTCACTAATTCACTCACTCATTCACTCACTCACTCATTCACTCACTCATTCATTCACTCACTCATTCACCCACCCACTCACTCACCCATCAACTTACTCACTCACCCATCAACTTACCCACTAACCTACCCACTCACCTCCCCACTCAACCACCCACTAACCTACCCATTCACTCACTCACCCACTCACTCATTCACCCACTCACTCACTGACTCATTCACCCACTCACTGACTCATTCACCCACTCACTCATTCACCCACTCACTCATTCACCCACTCATTCACCCACTCACTCACCCACTCATTCCCACTCATTCACCCACCCACTCATTCATCCACTCACTCACTCACCCACTCACTCATTCACTCATTCACTCACTCACCCACTCACTCATTCACTCACTCATTTACTCACTCATTCACTCACTCACTCATTCACTCACTCATTCACTCACCCATTCACTCATTCACTCACTCATTCACTCACCCACTCACTCATTCATGCACTCACTCATTCACTCACCATTCACTCACTCATTCACTCACCCACTCATTCACTCACTCATGCATTCACTCACTCATTCACTTATTCATTCACTCATTCACTCACTCATTCACCCACTCACTCATTCACTCACTTATTCACTCACTCACTTACTCATTCACTCAACCACTCACTCATTCATTCACTCACTCACCCACTCATTCACTCACTCATTCACTCACTCATTCACTAACTCATTCACTCACCCACTCACTCATTCACTCACTCATTCATTCACTCATTCACTCATTCACTCACCCACTCACTCATTCACTCACTCATTCACTCACTCACTCATTCACTCACTCATCCACTCACTCATTCACTCATTCAATCACCCACTCACTCACTCATTCACTCACTCATTCACCCACCCACTCACTCATTCACCCACTCACTCACCTACCCACTCACTCACCCATCAACTTACCCACTAACCTACCCACTCACCTCCCCACTCAACCACCCACTAACCTACCCATTCACTCACCCACTCACTCATTCACCCACTCACTCACTGACTCATTCACCCACTCACTCACTCATTCACCCACTCACTCATTCACCCACCCACTCATTCACCCACTCACTCACCCACTCATTCACCCACTCATTCACCCACCCACTCATTCACCCACTCACTCACTCATCCACTCATTCACTCATTCACCCACTCACCCACCCACTTACTCACTCATCCACTCACTCACTCACTCACCCACCCACTCACCCACTCATTCACCCACCCACTCATTCACCCACTCACTCACCTACCCACTCACCTACCCACTCACTCACCCACTAACTCACCCACTCACTCACCCACCCACTCACCAACTCCTCTACTCATTCACACGGTGCACGCAGAAGTTCCGTCGCCCCGAACCGTCGGTTCTCATCCCGCTCTCCTGCAGAAGGGCCATAGCCCTAAACGTCCAATACCTCCGCCAATGGTGGGAATCAGTGAACGCGGCCCTCTCACCTCTGGCCGTGAGAGTCACGTTGTATCCTTGAGCCAAGAGAAATAGTCCGGCAAGAAAAAGTAGTCCCATAACCGATCTCCGGGCGCGGCAGTTTAAAATAAAATAAAAACGCAGTCCGTTGGTGGCTACAGCTACAGCTGTTGTTGTTGTTGTTGTGGGGGGCCCTTTGACGGCCCCCCCTCCTGTGTCCACAACGTGGGAGAGACTCCCACGTGAGCAGCGACCCCTGGTGGACGGCTCAAGGTCGCAGTGCGCCGGTCTGAGGTGGTGCGAGGTCACTCCTCACGCCTCGGTCATCTTCCAGAAGATCTCTGTTTAGTCTACCGACGACCGCCACCGAAACGGGAAGGAATCATTCCGGAAGATCAACCGTCAACTGGCCCCACACCCCCCACCGAACGTGAAGGCCCTAACCCCCTTCTTCTGGAAGATCTCTACCAAAAACACACAATTTGGTTCTTCCAGAAGACGTCTTCCGGAAGATCAACCGTCAACTCCCCCCCACCCCCCACGCCCACCGAATGTGAAGGCCCAAGCCCCCGTCTTCTGGAAGATCTCTACCAAAAAAAAACACAATATGGTTCTTCCAGAAGACGTCTTCCGGAAGATCAACTGTCATTCCAGCCCCATGTTGAATGACTCCGCCCTTCCGACGGGAAGATTGCCGCCAAAACGAGAATCGTGACTTCAGAAGCAATCTTCCGGAAGATCAACCACCATTCCGCCAACCCTTGTTGAATGAGTCTGCCCTCCCTACGCGAAGACCGCCACCAAAACGGCAAACAATCTTCCGGAAGACCAAACGTCCATTCTCCCAATGCTAAAAACTCCCCTCCCCCACTCTTCCGGAAGATGTCTTCCGCTTCCGGAAGAACGCGTAAGTACACCGCGAAGACCCACCCCACCGAAACGCATTCCTCCATCAGCCCTCCATCTCCTCCTCGCCGCAGCCGCTGGAACTCCGTTCGCAATCCGCCGCCATCCTCGCCTCCCGGGCGCTCCCGAGCCTCCGCCGAGGCGTCGTCTCGTCCCTCGCGACCTCCTCCGGCCCCTCGCCCTCGCCGCGATGGCGTGCGGCGCTACCCTAAGCCTCAAAAGGGCGATGGCGCTCGACCCCGTGCAGTCGCCCAAGCGCCGTCGTTTCGGCCCGGCGCAGCCATCGGCGTCGTCCCCCTCCTCTGCGACGCCGTCGGCGGCGGCGGCGGCGGCGTCGGCCTCTCGCCATCATTCGTCTTCTCCCATGAGGAGATATCTGAGCGTGGATCCCTCGCCCTTTGCAGAGGTTTCTCCTCGCGTCACTGCGGGTAGGAGAGGTGGTGGTGGTGGTGGGTGGGGTGGTGGTGATGGGTGGTGGTGATGGGTGGGGTGGTGGTGTTAGTGGTGGTGCTTGATGTGGCTGTGCTTGATGTGGTGGTGGTGTTAGTGGTGGTGTTAGTGGTTGTGCTTGATGTGGTGGTGATGTTAGTGGTTGTGCTTGATGTGGTGGTGATGTTATTGGTGGTGTTAGTGGTGGTGTTTGATGTGGTGGTGATGTTAGTGGTGGTGTTTGATGTGGTGGTGATGTTAGTGGTGGTGTTAGTGGTGGTGATGTTAGTGGTGGTGCTTGACGTGGTGGTGATGTTAGTGGTGGTGCTTGACGTGGTGGTGATGTTAGTGGTGGTGTTAGTGGTGGTGTTTGATGTGGTGGTGATGTTAGTGGTGGTGTTAGTGGTGGTGATGTTAGTGGTGGTGCTTGACGTGGTGGTGATGTTAGTGGTGGTGCTTGACGTGGTGGTGATGTTAGTGGTGGTGTTAGTGGTGGTGTTTGATGTGGCTGTGCTTGATGTGGTGGTGATGTTAGTGGTGGTGTTAGTGGTGGTGTTTGATGTGGTGGTGATGTTAGTGGTGGTGCTTGATGTGGTGGTGGTGTTAGTGGTGGTGTTTGATGTGGTGGTGATGTTAGTGGTGGTGCTTGATGTGGTGGTGGTGTTAGTGGTTGTGCTTGATGTGGCTGTGATGGTGGTGGTGTTAGTGGCGGTGCTTGATGTGGCTGTGCTTGATGTGGTGGTGTTAGTGGTGGTGCTTGATGTGGTGGTGGTGTTAGTGGTTGTGCTTGATGTGGCTGTGATGGTGGTGGTGTTAGTGGTGGTGTTTGGTGTGGCTGTGATGGTGGTGGTGTTAGTGGTGGTGATGGGTGGGGTGGTGGTTGTGCTTGACTTGGTGGTGATGGTGGTGGTGATGTTAGTGGTGGAGCTTGATGTGGCTGTGCTTGATGTGGTGGTGTTAGTGGTGGTGCTTGATGATGGTTGTTATGGTGGTGGTGGGAGTGGTTATGTTGATTGTGGTGGTGATGATGACGGTGGTGGTAGTTGATGATGGTGGTGATGTTGATTGTGGAGGTGGTGATGGTGGTGATTGTGGTGGTGATGGTGATTGTGGTGATGATGGTGATTGTGGTGATGATGGTGATTGTGGTGATGATGGTGATTGTGGTGATGATGGTGATTGTGATGGTGATTGTGGTGATGGTGATTGTGGTGATGGAGGAGGCTCGTGAAGGACGCTGCTGCTGTTGCTGGAGGCAGTCGCCCTCCAGCAACAACGGAGGGCGGAGAGGAGCGACGCTCACAACAACGAGCGCAGCGCCGGGGTGGCTAAAGCGTTATCAAGTTGCCACAGCTGGTGATGGTGGTGCATCAGCCGCTCATCTCACTCAGTCGCCGCATGGCACCCGCTGGGTCTGTCCCGAGACGACCTCCTCCTCCTGCCAGCAGCCTCGGAGTGCACCTAGCCTGGCACAGGCGTCGTGGTGTCGCCACCGCCACTTGCTGCTGCTGATGATGATGATGAGGGGGGTAGTTTGGATGGTGGTGCTTGTCACGGTTATGATGGTGTTGGATGTGCCACACATGTAGGAGGAAGTCGCCACCCCGCTCTGTGAGTGACTGGCTGTGGAGGGCTTCCTCCTCTTGGTGGTGTTAGTGGTGGTGCTTGATAATGGCTGTGCTTGATGTGGTGGTGGTGTTAGTGGTGGTGGTGTTAGTGGTGGTGGTGTTAGTGGTGGTGCTTGATGATGGCTGTGCTTGATGTGGTGGTGGTGGTGTTAGTGGTGGTGCTTGATAATGGCTGTGCTTGATGTGGTGGTGGTGTTAGTGGTGGTGGTGTTAGTGGTGGTGGTGTTAGTGGTGGTGCTTGATGATGGCTGTGCTTGATGTGGTGGTGGTGGTGTTAGTGGTGGTGCTTGATAATGGCTGTGCTTGATGTGGTGGTGGTGTTAGTGGTGGTGGTGTTAGTGGTGGTGGTGGTGATGGGTGGTGTGGTGGTTGTGCTTGATGTGGTGGTGATGGTGGTGGTGTTAGTGGTGGTGCTTGACGTGGTGGTGATGGGTGGGGTGGTGTTAGTGGTGGTGATGGGTGGTGATGGTGGTGGTGCTTGACGTGGTGGTGATGGGTGGGGTGGTGTTAGTGGTGGTGTTAGTGGTGGTGCTTGACGTGGTGGTGTTAGTGGTGGTGATGGGTGGGGTGGTGTTAGTGGTGATGGGTGGTGTTAGTGGTGGTGCTTGACGTGGTGGTGATGGGTGGGGTTGTGTTAGTGGTGGTGATGGGTGGTGTGGTGGTTGTGGTGATGGTGGTACTTGACGTGGTGGTGATGGGTGGGGTGGTGTTAGTGGTGGTGTTAGTGGTGGTGCTTGACGTGGTGGTGATGGGTGGGGTTGTGTTAGTGGTGGTGCTTGACGTGGTGGTGATGGGTGGGGTGGTGTTAGTGGTGGTGTTAGTGGTGGTGATGGGTGGGGTGGTGTTAGTGGTGGTGCTTGACGTGGTGGTGATGGGTGGGGTTGTGTTAGTGGTGGTGGTGGTGTTAGTGGTGGTGCTTGACGTGGTGGTGATGGGTGGGGTGGTGTTAGTGGTGGTGGTGGTGTTAGTGGTGGTGCTTGACGTGGTGGTGATGGGTGGGGTTGTGTTAGTGGCTTCCTCCACAGTCACTCACAGAGGGGCGATCCGGAACCTTGGGGGACGAGGAGAGATGATCTCTGCCGAGAATCCCATCCCGAGTTATCGTGGGAAAAATCCGATGAGCCGTGAAGCTCTTTATCACAGGTGTCCAATCGGGGCACGGGGTGATAATGCTGAGGGTAAGGGATGGCGTCTTGTGTGCAGACCGCCCTCCGTGACATCTTCCCCACTCTCCCACCCACTTGTTAACCTACTCACGCACACAGATCACAGATACAGGTCCCCCGTGTAGCCTGTAACAGACTGTAGGGGCAAGTGCTGTTAGCGAGCAGCACCTATGAAGGCCGGTAACGGTACACGAGTGGGTGGGTGGCCAGCACCACGCCCGACCGCCTTTGTCTCCCCAGTGGCGATGTTTTTACACACCGCACCAGGTCACTCATTTGAGGCTGAGTCGACCTAGGGGAGGCCCAGGACCGGTTCAGATAATCGTCACTGGGTGTTGGCCGTGAGCGGGAATCGAACCCGGGTCGCCGGGTTCATAGCGCAGTGTAGCGCTGACCGCTACACTACCGCTCCCCGCACACAACAACAACAACCGCCATTCGCCACTAAGTGGCGGTGACGTCACCACGACGCTTGTGCCAGGCTATGTGCACCCTGAGGCCACGTGAAGTGTCGAACGCCCGCTGGCAGGAGGTCACCGGGCATACCCAGGTGCCACGGGTCGACTGACTGAGATGACTGGCTGGTGCACCACCTGTGCCCCCTACTGTGCCAACCTGCTGTGCTTTAGCCACCCGGCGCTCCGCTCGTTGTTCTGAGCGTCGCTCCTCCGCCCTCCGTTGTTGTTGGAGGGCGACTGCCTCCAACCTCCCAGTAGCATCCTTCACGAGCCTCCTCCACAGAGGCCGATCTTGACACCGCTGGTACCAGTCATCAGCAAGTCCACTCAGCTCCACGTCCTCCTGTACCACGTCACTCCATCTCTTCTCTAGCCCGTGCCGCGCCCGCTTAGCCCCCTCAATCCGGCCGAACAAAAGCTGTTTCGGCATGCGGTGGCTGGGCATGCGGGCTACATGACCCAGCCATCGCAGCCTTGCCCGCCGGAGGAGCTCACCGATGGGACCTTGCCCAGATCTTTCAAGGATTTGTGAGCTCACACAATCCAGTCTGGTTAAACCCAGGATGGATCGTAGGCAGGCCAGCCTAAATGTTTCTAACCGGCGAAGATGTTCCATTAGGGGGGTCCACGTTTCGCAAGCGTAGAGAAGGGAGGGAATGACCGTGGCCGAGAAGACCTGAAGCTTAGTGCGGAGCGACAGACCAGGTAGCTTCCACACAGCGTTACGCAACCGATGAAAAGATATTGCCGTTCGACTGATTCGGAGTGAGACCTCTGCTGTTAAACTGGAGCCAGTCATAAGCACACTGCCCAGGTATGGGAAACTCTCCACTCTCTCCACAACTGCCCCATCACCGATCGGGAGTTGTGGGGGTGGAGTGTCCGATGGCACGCTCCAGTCTCAGCAGCAGCGTCTCCAACTCGTCCTCTGACTGAGCAGCTGTTACCAAATCATCAGCATACATAACGTGGTTGAGCAATAGGGAGCCATCCCTTGACCGCACCCGGGCATCGATCAGCCTCCCATTATATCTGTACCTTATGGAGATTCCCCCGGTACAGCTATTGAAGGCTTCACGAACTACGTGGTCAAAATAGATGTTAAATAATGTGGGAGCCAGAGGACATCCCTGTCGCACCCCAAGGTATACAGGGAATGGCTCTGACTCCCGGCCACGTAGTTTTACCCGGGCCCGCTCACCATCATGAAGGTCCTTAATGATCGTGAGCAGAGGGTCAGGTACTCCAAGAGCAAACTCGTGGTTTCGTGGTAATTAATTGAAGGTGAAGGGGTTACCAGCCCCTCGCACCCGTCCAGAGCCCCCGTTTAGCCCCTGTGGTGGACACATATGCCATGAGGGGAGGAGCCAATCAAAATTGGATCTCCCCCCACAGCACTGTCCACGACAGAGTTGCCCGTCCGGCACCGCGAGGAGGTAGGGGGTTGTTTTGCCGGACACACACACACAGACACACACAGACAGACACACAAGACACACAAACACCCTCACCTAGTCAACCATCTCGCCACAGGTAAAACAGAACACCTTGAAGTTTGTGTGGGTCTCTCTGTGAGGGAGGGAGAGAGACGGAGAGGTTCATCATGGCTCGCTCAACCACCCACCTCACCCACTCATTCACCCACTCATTCACCCACCCATTCGCCCACCCACTCCTACACTGTCTGGACCACAGGATTGGAATGTGCGTCTATGTTGAATTTCTATTGCACCCATACTTAGCCAACTGTGTTAATTTGCATGTGGAAGGATGCCCCGATAGCGTCCCCTCTCTTTAAGAAGGGGGACCGCACGGACTTTTTAACAACTACCCTGGGCATCTCCCTCAATGTGATGCCGGGAGTGGTCCTGGCGAGGATTATTCAACATCGCCTCTTGCCAGCCAACGCGCTGAGCAGAGGCTTGCGGAGCCCCAATGTCCTGCACGGATGCCATATTGTGTGCTACGGCAGAGGTGTTGTGGAATTCCAACAGGACTCGGGTCTTAAGAGTAGGTTTTACCTTTTCTGGCAATAAAACACTTGTGTCAGGATGCTAACACACCACCTGAAACACTGTGCAAGGAATCATGTCTGCATCAACTACACACGGTGCTTGTGGTGAACGTGCAAACAAAGCCCGTGCTCTGGCAGTATACGGCGATGAGTTGTCTTTGAAACGGATTGGTCCACACCAGAGACAGCTTTCTTTAGAGCCAAGTCTCCAGCAGTGTGAGCCCCAGATGATAACGCCAAAAGGCGGACAGCACCAGGACAATGCCAACTATCGGGACATTGGGAGCTTGGGATGAGAAGCTGCATCATGGGACCTCCATTGCCACTATCAAAATACAACAATAGGTTTTTACTATCTCTGGCAATAAAACGTCTCTGCTGTTGTTGACCTGGTCACGGCACGTGGTACCATGAATAGGGCAGGATTCGAGGTGGTTCTTCGCACTTTCGGAGTCCCTGATTGTGCTTCATGATGGTGAGCAGGCCCGGGTAAAGCTACGTGGCCGGGAGTCGGAGCCATTCCCTGTTCACTTTGGGGTGCGACAGAGATGTCCTCTGGCTCCTTCACTATTTAATGTCTCCCTCTCTCCCCCTCTCTCCATCTCCCCCTTACCACCCCTCCCTCTCTCCCTTTCTCCCTCTCCCCATCTCTCCGTATTCCTCCTGCCCCCTTACCACCCCTCCCTCTCTCCCTTTCTCTCTGTCCCTCTCATCCCTCCTTGATCCCTCGATCTCCCTCTGACCTCTCTCTCTATCCCCCCTCTCTATCCCCCCTCTCTATCCCCCCTCTCTATCCCCCCTCTCTATCCCCCCTCTCTATCCCCCCTCTCTATCCCCCTCTCTATACCCCCTCTCTATCTCCCCTCTCTATCCCCCCTCTCTATCTCCCCTCTCTATCCCCTCTCTCACCCTCCTCCATCCCTCCCCCCTCTCACAGAGCAACTGGTGGCCAGCATCAGGCAGGAGTTCCGCCGTCTCCAACGCAGGAAGCACCTGGACCCGGCCGCCTTTGTCTCCCCGGCGTGCCCCCCACCCTCTCCCCCCCTCCCCCTCGCCGCCCCCCTCCCCCCCCTCAGAGCAGATGGAGGCCGGAAGCCCCCCACCAGCCCCCCAGAGTCTCCACGGAGATGCAGGTTAGCAGCGGAGAGAGCCTGGCCGTGTGTGTGTCTGTGTGTGTGTGTGTGGGGTTAGTGCTTGGAGCCTTCCAACACTGAACCCACTTTCTCTTGTCTCTCTCACCGTGTCTGTGTCTCTCACTGTGCCTCTGTCTCTCTCACGTGTCTCTGTGTGTCTCACTCTGCCTCTGTGTCTCTCACGTGTCTCTGTGTGTCTCTCACTGTGCCTCTGTCTCTCTCACGTGTGTCTGTGTGTCTCACTGTGTCTCTTGTCTCTCTCACCTGTGTCTGTGTCTCTCACTGTGCCTCTGTCTCTCTCACGTGTCTCTGTGTGTCTCTCTGTGCCTCTGTCTCTCTCACGTGTCTCTGTGTGTCTCACCGTGCCTCTGTCTCTCTCACGTGTCTCTGTGTCTCTCACTGTGCCTCTGTCTCTCTCACGTGTCTCTGTTTCTCGCTGTGCCTCTGTCTCTCTCACGTGTCTCTGTGTGTCTCACTGTGCCTCTGTCTCTCTCACGTGTCTCTGTGTGTCTCACTGTGTCTCTTGTCTCTCTCACCTGTGTCTGTGTCTCTCACTGTGCCTCTGTCTCTCTCACGTGTCTCTGTGTGTCTCACTGTGCCTCTGTCTCTCTCACGTGTCTCTGTGTCTCTCACTGTGTCTCTTGTCTCTCTCACCTGTGTCTGTGTCTCTCACTGTGCCTCTGTCTCTCTCACGTGTCTCTGCGTCTCTCACTGTGCCTCTGTCTCTCTCACGTATCTCTGTGTCTCTCACTGTGCCTCTGTCTCTCTCACGTGTCTCTGTGTCTCTCACTGTGCCTCTGTCTCTCTCACGTGTCTCTGTGTGTCTCACTGTGCCTCTGTCTCTCTCACATGTCTCTGTGTGTCTCTCACTGTGCCTTGTCTCTCTCACGTGTCTCTGTGTCTCTCACTGTGCCTCTGTCTCTCTCACGTATCTCTGTGTCTCTCACTGTGCCTCTGTCTCACGTGTCTCTGCGTCTCTCACTGTGCCTCTGTCTCTCTCACGTGTCTCTGTGTGTCTCTCACTGTGCCTCTGTCTCTCTCACGTGTATCTGTGTGTCTCTCACTGTGCCTCTGTCTCTCTCACGTGTCTGTGTGTCTCTCACTGTGCCTCTGTCTCTCTCACGTGTCTCTGTGTCTCTCTCACTGTGCCTCTGTCTCTCTCACGTGTCTGTGTGTCTCACTGTGTCTCTTGTCTCTCTCACGTGTGTCTGTGTCTCTCACGTGTCTCTGTGTGTCTCACTGTGCCTCTGTCTCTCTCACGTGTCTCTGTGTGTCTCACTGTGCCTCTGTCTCTCTCACGTGTCTCTGTGTGTCTCACTGTGCCTCTGTCTCTCTCACGTGTCTCTGTGTGTCTCACTGTGCCTCTGTCTCTCTCACGTGTCTCTGTGTCTCACTGTGCCTCTGTCTCTCTCACGTGTCTCTGTGTGTTTCACTGTGCCTCTGTCTCTCTCACGTGTCTCTGTGTGTCTCACTGTGCCTCTGTCTCTCTCACGTGTCTCTGTCTCTCTCACGTGTCTCTGTCTCTCTCACGTGTCTCTGTGTCTCTCACGTGTCTCTGCGTCTCTCACTGTGCCTCTGTCTCTCTCACGTGTCTCTGTGTCTCTCACTGTGCCTCTGTCTCTCTCACGTGTCTCTGTGTGTCTCACTGTGCCTCTGTCTCTCTCACATGTCTCTGTGTGTCTCTCACTGTGCCTTGTCTCTCTCACGTGTCTCTGTGTCTCTCACTGTGCCTCTGTCTCTCTCACGTATCTCTGTCTCTCACTGTGCCTCTGTCTCTCTCACGTGTCTCTGCGTCTCTCACTGTGCCTCTGTCTCTCTCACGTGTCTCTGTGTGTCTCTCACTGTGCCTCTGTCTCTCTCACGTGTATCTGTGTGTCTCTCACTGTGCCTCTGTCTCTCTCACGTGTCTGTGTCTCTCTCACGTGTCTGTGTGTCTCTCACTGTGCCTCTGTCTCTCTCACGTGTCTCTGTGTCTCTCTCACTGTGCCTCTGTCTCTCTCACGTGTCTGTGTGTCTCACTATGTCTCTTGTCTCTCTCACGTGTGTCTGTGTGTCTCACTATGTCTCTTGTCTCTCTCACGTGTCTCTGTGTGTCTCACTGTGCCTCTGTCTCTCTCACGTGTCTCTGTCTCTCTCACGTGTCTCTGTCTCTCTCACGTGTCTCTGTCTCTCTCACGTGTCTCTGTGTCTCTCACGTGTCTCTGCGTCTCTCACTGTGCCTCTGTCTCTCTCACGTGTCTCTGTGTGTCTCACTGTGCCTCTGTCTCTCTCACGTGTCTCTGTGTGTCTCACTGTGCCTCTGTCTCTCTCACGTGTCTCTGTGTCTCTCACGTGTCTCTGTGTCTCTCACGTGTCTCTGTCTCTCTCACGTGTCTCTGTGTCTCTGTCTCTCCCCCAGGCGTAGTGTCTCTGTGTCTGTCTCACCGTGTCTCTGTCTCTCCCCCAGGCGTGTCTCTGTCTCACCGTGTCTCTGTCTCACCGTGTCTCTGTCTCTCCCCCAGGTGTGTCTCCGTGTCTCTGTCTCACCGTGTCTCTGTCTCACCGTGTCTCTGTCTCTCCCCCAGGCGTGTCCCCGTGTCTCCGTGTCTCTGTCTCACCGTGTCTCTGTCTCTCCCCCAGGCGTGTCCCCGTGTCTCTGTGTCTCTGTCTCACCGTGTCTCTGTCTCACCGTGTCTCCGTGTCTCTGTCTCACCGTGTCTCTGTCTCTCCCCCAGGCGTGTCCCCGTGTCTCTGTCTCACGGTGTCTCTGTCTCACCGTGTCTCTGTCTCCCCCAGGCGTGTCTCCGTGTCTCTGTCTCACCGTGTCTCTGTCTCACCGTGTCTCTGTCTCTCCCCCAGGCGTAGTGTCTCTGTCTGTCTCACCGTGTCTCTGTCTCTCCCCCAGGCGTGTCCCCGTGTCTCTGTGTCTCTGTCTCACCGTGTCTCTGTCTCACCGTGTCTCTGTCTCTCCCCCAGGCGTGTCTCTGTCTCACCGTGTCTCTGTGTCACCGTGTCTCTGTCTCTCCCCCAGGCGTGTCCCCGTGTCTCTGTCTCACTGTGTCTCTGTCTCTCCCCCAGGCGTGTCCCCGTGTCTCTGTCTCACCGTGTCTCTGTGTCTGTCTCACCGTGTCTCTGTCTCTCCCCCAGGCGTGTCCCCGTGTCTCTGTCTCACCGTGTCTCTGTCTCACCGTGTCTCCGTGTCTCTGTCTCACCGTGTCTCTGTGTCTGTCTCACCGTGTCTCTGTCTCTCCCCCAGGCGTAGTGTCCCCGTGTCTCTGTCTCACCATGTCCCCGTGTCTCTGTCTCACCGTGTCTCTGTCTCACCGTGTCTCTGTCTCACCGTGTCTCTGCCTCTCCCCCAGGCGTGTCCCTGTGTCTCTGTCTCACCGTGTCTGTCTCCCCGTGTCTCCGTGTCTCTGTCTCACCGTGTCTCTGTCTCACCGTGTCTCTGTCTCTCCCCCAGGCGTAGTGTCCCCGTGTCTCTGTCTCACCGTGTCTCTGTCTCTCCCCCAGGCGTGTGTCCCCGTGTCTCTGTCTCACCGTGTCTCTGTCTCTCCCCCAGGCATGTCCCCGTGTCTCTGTCTCACCGTGTCTCTGTCTCACCGTGTCTCTGTCTCACCGTGTCTCTGTCTCTCCCCCAGGCGTGTGTCCCCGTGTCTCTCCCCCAGGCGTGTCTCCGTGTCTCTGTCTCACCGTGTCTCTGTGTCTGTCTCACCGTGTCTGTCTCACCGTGTCTCTGTGTCTGTCTCACCGTGTCTCTGTCTCTCCCCCAGGCGTGTCCCCGTGTCTCTGTCTCACCGTGTCTCTGTCTCACCGTGTCCCCGTGTCTCTGTCTCACCGTGTCTCTGTCTCACCGTGTCTCTGTCTCACCGTGTCTCTGTCTCACCGTGTCTCTGTCTCTCCCCCAGGCGTAGTGTCCCCGTGTCTCTGTCTCACCGTGTCTCTGTGTCTGTCTCACCGTGTCTCTGTCTCACCGTGTCTCTGTCTCACCGTGTCTCTGTCTCACCGTGTCTCTGTCTCACCGTGTCTCTGTCTCACCGTGTCTCTGTCTCTCCCCCAGGCGTAGTGTCTCTGTGTCTGTCTCACCGTGTCTCTGTCTCACCGTGTCTCTGTCTCTCCCCCAGGAGTGTCCCCGTGTCTCTGTGTCTCTGTCTCACCGTGTCTCTGTCTCGCCGTGTCTCTGTGTCTCTGTCTCACCGTGTCTCTGTCTCTCCCCCAGGCGTAGTGTCCCCGTGTCTCTGTCTCACCGTGTCTCTGTCTCTCCCCCAGGTGTAGTGTCTCCGTGTCTCTGTCTCACCGTGTCTCTGTCTCACCGTGTCTCTGTCTCACCGTGTCTCACCGTGTCTCTGTCTCACCATGTCTCTGTCTCACCGTGTCTCTGTCTCTCCCCCAGGAGTGTCTCCGTGTCTGTCTCACCGTGTCTCCGTGTCTCTGTCTCACCGTGTCTCTGTCTCACCGTGTCTCTGTCTCACCGTGTCTCTGTCTCACCGTGTCTCTGTCTCTCCCCCAGGAGTGTCCCCGTGTCTCCGTGTCTCTGTGTCTCTGTCTCACCGTGTCTCTGCCTCTCCCCCAGGAGTGTCTCCGTGTCTCTGTCTCACCGTGTCTCTGTCTCTCCCCCAGGCGTAGTGTCTCTGTGTCTCTGTCTCACCGTGTCTCTGTCTCTCCCCCAGGCGTGTCCCCGTGTCTCTGTCTCACCGTGTCTCTGTCTCTCCCCCAGGCGTAGTGTCCCCGTGTCTCTGTCTCACCATGTCCCCGTGTCTCTGTCTCACCGTGTCTCTGTCTGTCTCACCGTGTCTCTGTCTCTCCCCCAGGCGTGTCCCCGTGTCTCTGTGTCTCTGTCTCACCGTCTCACCGTGTCTCTGTCTCACCGTGTCTCTGTCTCACCGTGTCTCTGTCTCTCCCCCAGGCGTGTCCCCGTGTCTCTGTCTCACCGTGTCTCTGTCTCCCCCAGGCGTGTCTCCGTGTCTCTGTCTCACCGTGTCTCTGTCTCACCGTGTCTCTGTCTCTCCCCCAGGCGTAGT